CCCATGGGTTCAACCTTAGATTTAGAATAATGTGAGAGGAATCCAAGCACTATTCGTCCTTAATCCGGTTTCCAACTTCTCGGGGTTTACTATACCCTCAGCCCTTAACCCTATACCCGAAACCCCCCATTACTTTAGGGGCGGTACCCGTTGCAGATTCAGTTTCGAGGTTCCTATGCAGGGGCTGCTCTGCAGATGAAGGTTCAAACCTACTAGCCCAGGTGCCTTAGAGCCTAATATGAATAGGGTTTTGGGGGTTCCTTATTAACTATAATTGTATAATATACCCCAAAACCCTATTCTGAGTATTAATGCCCCTACATTATAGACCCTAAAGCCCAAAGCCCCCAGAAGCCCGTAGCAATACAAAACGAAACTCGTTCTTCTTCGTCCTCGTGTGGGCAGGCGGTCCGCGCAGTATTTGTGCTGGCACCTGCACTTCTATGGGCCAGGGCTTTCTTTCGAGTATGACCCCTGACTAACTTCCCAGGCGCCCTCCATACACTGACCGCATGATTGTCGCAATTACTCCCCCCATGCAGCCATGAGGCAAACTAAGATTCGGAGGCCTTGATCCCAAGTAACCGGCCGAAATACACGGCCCTAACATTTGGAATAAGCATTTTGGGGTACATAATACGGTGTTTTTACTAAGAGCTATCGAAGCCAACTGTGGCAGCCTATGCGGGCCCTACAGTGGTCACACCCAGAGACTCCTAAAGGGCTTAGAAGAGGAACAGGCCCTTTTTGTGCTGTACTACAGATTTCACAGCATTCAACTCAGGAGCAGATCTTGAATGCTAAATCAGGTCAAGGATCCCTCAGAATTGAAAGTATAATCTTTATCTTAAAGGGGTTGTCGAGTTTCTGCGCTTGCGCTGCTTCGGATGTAATGCTGCGCGTACTATCTAAGCCTGAAGAGCTAAGCTAACACTGTTCCTCGCAGCTCTTGAGGCTCATTACGGTCTGACATACCCCCCAAGCCCCCAAACCCTAAATCCAAAACCCTGAAGTTTTCCCCAAATCCTTAAATCCTAAACCCTAAATCCTGTTCTAAGTATTCTGTATCCTATGTTAACAGCCTGGGGGACTCGGGGTTCGAACCTTCTGAGCATTTGGAGCTGTGTGGTTCGGCTGGAAGTTGGGATTCAAGGTTGTGCCCTGTGAATGTAGGGCCTTGATTATACTTAGAATAGGGTTTTGGGGCATGTTCTGCCATAATTATCATAAGGAACCCCCAAAGTAGTATTGGTAATTATTTGGGCCCTTCTATTACTTGATCTACGCAAAAGGCGTCTTAAGTCTTAAGGATCAGAAGAGAGGATAAAAGGGGTGTACTCTACAAGAACGATCGTAGTCTGAATGTCGCCGAGACCCTCAACCCAGGCTCTGACTCCTCCACCCCAAACCCTAAACTCTCAGCCCTGAACCCAAAGGGTCCAAGTACTAGTATAGTATATACTTTCGGGGCCCAAATACCTACTAAGTACCTACTATAATGGTACTTGGACCGTTTGGGAACCCTGCCCCACTACTCTGAAGGTACGATGCGTTTTGAGGCGCAAGTCCGACCCTCAACTGAAGAGACCAATTCTTCATCACCTAGGTGAAATAAGGTTCTACAAGGGGCTACATAGGGCTACGATAAGGTGTCCCATACGGTTTGTATTGGGGTGTACGGGTTGGGATTTTCGCTTCATCCCTGTGTCAGTCATGAGTCATGGGCACCTGACACAGCGTCAAGAGGTATCTTTGCGGAGAAAAACACACTTTGAAATGAACCCTTGGAGTTTTCTGAGAATACAACATCCATAGAACACTGAAGTAGCGGAGTTTCCCCGCTTCTGACCGCTTCACCAACAAACGCTTCCGGATCCCGGAACCACAAAGACCCTGAATCCTAAAAAAAACCTAGACCCCACACCCGAAAGCCTGAACCCCTTCTAAGATTTAACTGTGTAGACCCTGCAACAAGAACCTTAAGCAAGCACTGAACAAGTTAAGGTCCTCAGGTCTTTGCCAAGCCCCCCGAAAACCCTAAACCC